ACATGGGAAACGCAAAAAAGTCACTTTTAATAGTTTTGTGCATTACAGCCAAACTAAGTGAGAGAGCCACACCAAACCACTCTATAATGTACTAGTCACCGCTGTGAAGCTTCCTGAGGTGGAAACTGGCAGATAGGTGCTTCTGGAAGACAATGGCAGCTTAAATGAAAAAGCTTCTTTTCTCAGCTGTTGTTCGACGTCATCCCGAGCACATGGTTACTTATCATATGGCGAATTAAAGGCCCCTGCACGCATTTAAAGCAAGGAGACCTGTTTTGTTAAATGTGCATTAATATTTGTATCGTTTTGGCCTCCTGAATGGCTCCAGGTTTAAAAAGTCAAGTTAAAAAGTATTTAAATAGACATGACAAGGTTTTAATCAATTCAATATTTATTAGGAATGGTCAAAATGTATAATAGATAAGCTGGGAAAGTGCAATGTAGCAGCAGCATTACACACAGTAACAACACACAGACATATCAAAAAAATCAACATAGAATGCAATATAAAAAATGGATAAATAACCAGTATAATTGCAGTGCAAACTAAAAATAAAAAATATAAGGTGCAGTGAACAGATGAAACATATAAGGTGCTTGGATAATAGTACAGTAAATATTTAAAAAAAAAAAACTTTTAATGTCTTTTTAAACTCTTCTCAGCCAGCCACAGCTCCACAGTCTTCCCTTCATAGAAAGCACAGAAGTGCTCTCCCCCATATTGGCTGTGGCCAAAGTCTTTCTGCTGTGGCTGGCCACAGAGTTGGCAGATCCGCAGTTTGTGGGGCTTCCTCACTTTCCCACCTGGTTTCTCTGGTTTCTCATGCCTCTGTTTGAGGTTCCAGGCTGTTGTTCTGGGGAGCTTCTGTAGCTCACCAGGGCCAAGCTGTTCCCTGATCTACTCTTGCACTGTGCGTCCTCCAGGGCCCTCTTCCACAGCACAAAAGTATTGGCCCTTGAGGTAAGTGTGGCCACCATCCACCGTGCATGCTTGGCCACGGATGTTGCAGGGGTCACCAGGTTTGTGCTGTGGCTTTCCCCTGGTACTTTGGAGGACTTTTTTGTCTTTTGCTGCTTTAATTTTGCGCCTGTACACAGTGCAACGGGTGGGCTTGCTGGTCCCCGCCACTGGCTCTGCTGCCTGAAGCCGTCAAGGAGAGGAGCTGGAGGAGGAGGAGGAGGATGTGCAGTCGTAGTCCACTTAAATACAAATACAATACAGAACTCTGTTAGTCAAGGTACATAGAAACACAGATGCAGTTTAACAAAGTATATTTCTAACAAACCTAATGAAGTGACGTGTTTGGTTTTCCGCGTTGCTTTTCTGCCTTCCATTCTGTCCAACTAAACCCTCAGCACCCCCTGTTGTTTGACAGTGTCCATTTGAGGCCCATTCTCACCTAGTCTCTAGGTAAACCTTTGAACCTGACCCTGGGTTGACCCCTTGACCCTAGTTTTAAGTGAGGAGAGGGAATGATGTATTGTGTGACTGTTACCTGTGGGAATTTAGTGATATCAGGCACCTAGTCTAGATACCTAGTCTTCCCTATATTTATTTAATTTCTTAAAGACCGAAAGAAGCAGGAGAAAGCATTGGTTTAAAAAAGAAAAGTTTATTTAAAACAAAAACAATTAAGACAGCAATATACAACTATATAGATATATATTGGAATTTCCCCATTGTGGGACAAATAAAGGAATATCTTATATAAGACAACTATATACACAATATTTATTTAGCAAACATAATTGACAAACTAAATACACTATATACACAATATTTACAAATCCCTCCCTCCCAAACACACACACACACACACACACACACACACACACACACAAAGCGTTCGCTCAGAGAGGGGGAGCCGCCCCATCACTCACTCACACACACACACACACACAAAAGTGAAGTGTTCGCTCAGGCAGGGGGGCTGCTCCATCACGCCCCTTCACCTCTGCCAGCCACTGCTCCACAGTTCTCCCTTTCCCCTCGGCCCGGGAGCAGAAGGTCTCCTTCTTGTAGCGGCTGTGGCCAAACGCCCGCGTCTTCGGTTGGCCACTGCGCCTGCAGTTAAAGTGGGAGACCTTCTTTGCTGGTTATAAGTGTTCTCCCAGCTCCCGGCACAACGCTCTTTCTCCTCCTGGAGCTTGCGCCTCAGGCGGTGTTCCTTGGCACTGGTGGAGCAGTGGCAGCTGTGGCTGTGGAGGGGATGTCACCGGCCTCCGCGCTGACGCTGGTGGACAGGACGGCGTCCGCGCTGGAGGCTTGTGGGGTGGCTGATGAGGAGGAGGAGGAGGCAGTGGAGGAGCTGGCGACGATGAGGTCCAGGACCAGAAGCGTCCGTGGGCAGGCGGTGCTGGAGGGGCTGGTCTGGCTGCTCAGGCTGCTGCAGCACAGTCGGTGGGGCAGGCAGGGGCTCCGCTGCAGTCTGGGGAGTGCTGGGCCCCAGGACTGCAATGGCGATGGTGTCCCTCATCATGGCCTTGCTCCTCTGGTTGTGCCTTAAAAAAACAGAATGTAACAAATGCACATTAGTAATCATGACATCACACACACACACTCACACAGTGCCACTTCAAATCAGATGTGAGAGAAAGGATCAGGTCTTACCATTGCGTCAGGGTCCGCCGATTGACATCATATAGCTGGATGCGGGTGCTCGTCATGAGGGCTGCACAACTATAAACATTCTCGCGAATTGTTAGATAGTCCCTCATGACGGCACCCCAGCGAGGAATCCAGACCCCGGCAATCTTCCTGCCCTCGCTGCAGTGGAGGATGCTGAGGTCCAGCAGGACAGCCTCCACAAGCCTCGACACATCGGGAGACTGCGCCGCTCCCGCCCCCTTGCCCAGGACCGCACTACATAGACAGAGAGAGAGAGAGGAGAGAGAGAGAGAGAGAGAGAGAGAGTCAGTGAGTTAATTAGTGACTGACAGGACAGGACAAGAACCAAAAAAAGCTTGGAAATTTATTGTGACTGCTTACCACTTCACACTATCCACACCCCTGGCATGTGAGCGTGCCGCTGGGTGGTCCGGAATCGGCCTTGGACAAGCCGGCCCTGGTGACGGGGGGGGAATTTGACCGCTGCCTTGTCCCAATCACTCAACTTCAGCCAGAGAGCGGTGATCTCTCTGGCTTGCCTGGGAGTGACGTAGCGGCGGTGGCGCAGTTCCACGAGGGCCTGGGCCAGGGCCACGACGTGCTGGTAGCTGCCTCCACCTGGCCCGATAACATCCTCCTCCTCCTCCTCCTCCTCCTCCACAGCCTGCTGCACCTCCATTTGGTCCACGCGGGTGAGGTTTGAGGACTGAAGGAGAGCGCTGTGGTGTTCGAGGAGACGAATCTCCTCTGGTTCCTCCTCCTCGAACTCTTCATCACTGCCCCCGGGCTTCGTCCTCATCAGTCCCTCCTGGAGCGTCAGGATCATCCAGGTCCTTCTGCAGCACAGCGCCCGTCTGGGAGAACAGGTACTCCACCCCAATGAGTTCCCCTGTGGGCACACAGAGACACAGATGTTAAATGACAGACACCTAAGACAGGTGTTAAACGTTACCGTTACCTCAGACAGATTTATGACTTACCTGTGTACTCCCTGGGCATGGTGTACGTGTCGACCAGCGTGAGCCCAAGAAGCTCTTGGGTCAGCTGGTCGAAGCTGTGCTGCAGCTGGGCACTGTAGCAACGCAGCGCCGACCTCTGTCCTCCCTCGATTCTCGTTCCACCGCACCAGGCCCTCCAGCAGGTACACCTGGAAGTGTACATCACTTGCAGATTGTCCTTAGCAGAAACAAAGCAACACAGTTAGTGTGAGAACAAATAAACACACAAATACATAATTGAGTCTGTGTTGTAAACCACACATGTACTTACCTGGGATGAAGCGGCACAGGTGCAGGTGGAACGATTCCAGGGAAGTGGAGCCTCGGCCGCACCGGTAGACGGGGAGCCTCACCCCGCCTTTGGTGAGCTCTCCCGTCTTGGTGTAGAGGTCCACTCCCGCAGGGTCCTGGATGCAGTCGAGGTGTCGGCGCTGCGTGCTCCAGATCTCCTCCATTCGGGCGCGGTCGATCAAAGGGACGCCCATGCTGTCCGTCACGTGCCAGAAGGTGTCCAGCACCTCTTGGACCAGCCGCTCCGTCTCCACTGCACCCCTGGTGCAGCGCCGGCAGTGACGGGCGAGCTCCTTGGCGGACAGCTTGACCTCCTGGGCGTCCCTCCCCTCCTCGGACTGCTTGGCTCCTCTCAGGCGGGACACGTCTTCGGCGTCCCACTCAAAAATGGCGAAGGAGAGCCTCGCCATGAAGAGGCCGTAGAGCTGGTGGCTGTCGGTGGTCACCCCTCTGGCGAAACGCCGCATGAGGTGCCACACGTCGAGCCTGACGACCAGCTCGTGCCACTCGTGGAACAGCTTGGACGTTTGACACTGTCCCACGGTGGCACAGCAGTCCCGGTCCACGTACAGGACCCTTGGAGGGGCCTTCCCGGCTTCGCGGTACCATGCCATGTCGACAAGTCCGCCCCCCCTCAGCTGCGGTGAGGACGGACATGAGCACCTGCCCGTACTCATTGCCGACGTTGGTGACCCAGGCGGCCGTCCCGGCAGCACCGCCCGCAAGCTTTTTGGTGATCTGTGTGACACAGCAACACAACAACATTCAGACACATGACAAAACAAACATTACACTGGGTACACGGCACGCTGTGGTGGATAACAAAACCTACCTTCTTGGTGGAGTCCATCTTCAAAAGATCACCAAAGATGGAAGTGACTCTGGCTCTCGTCTCGTCGAGCCTCGTCAAGGCGTCCCTGACGTAGACGTTGATGAGCCAGAGCACTGTGGGCACCGGGTGCATGGTTGGGAGCGACGACGCCGCCAGCGGCGCAGCGCCCGGTACCCGAAGCTTGCGGAGCACGGAAAGGTACAGCATCGACCGCGCCATCCACTCTCTGGTGTGCTGCTCCACCAGAGAGGCACGGAGGCGAGACGCACTGTTGCCCAAAGTGCGCTCCTTCATGAGCCCGATCACAGCTCTGTCGCAGGACAACCTGGGAGGGGAAAGAGGTGATCAGAGGTTACCGGAGAAAACCACAGAAATACATTACTGTTGCTGTTACTGTTTACATTACTTACTTGTACGTGAGAACTGCTGGACACTGCTCACGATGGGCCATGTCCAGCTGTCCCAAGATGTCCTGCGACCATCCCGGCATCTTCTTGTGACAGGAGCTGCATTCCAGGTACTCCGTGCCCATGAAGTACCAGCAGCTCCTGTCCAAGACCCTCCTCACCGTCTTGTAGAGGCCAGCTCCCGCAAGCTTGCCCCCACAGGCGACGATGGGGCAGCGGAGGTGGTACGCCCACATCCTGTAGGGCACCCACAGGAAAAAGGGACTCTGGAAAAAGGGGTGGGCTGTGGCGGGTGGCTGGGTGTAGAGGGGCCGGGCACCTTGGTGGGTGCCACCACAGGCGGAGTTCAGATGTGAGGACACCCTGCCCGTTGGGTGCCCTCCTGAACAGTGCCCGGCCCACCCAGTCGTGCTGCTCTTCGGGGAGCGTCAGCCTCCAGCCACGTGGTAGCAGCTGAAACACACAGCAGTGTCAGACCGTTAGTGTACTGAACACAGACACACACACACTACAACACAATATGTCATCACTGAGCATACCTGTGCGCCGGGGCCTGACCTCTCCCCACAGGTGTTGTCCTGAAGGGGACGTTCCGGTGGCTGGGAGAGAGAGAAGGGGGGCACGGCTGATGGGGCATCCCTGCACGGGTCGACCTCCATGGCGGCAGCGAGCAGGTCAGCATCCGAGGGTCCATCCTGGGGACCAACAGCGTCCAGGGGTGGTTGTGGTGGTTGTGCTGCCAGGGCTGCCTTCTCTGCATCCCGGGCCTGCACATATTTTTTTAAGTCCACCAACCTGGACGCTTTGGCTGTGGGTGCCGCCTGCCTCACAAACTGTACATAGCTAAAAAAGAGAACAGAAATGCAATGGGTAAAAAAGTCACGCACACACACAGACAGACACAGATACACACACAGACACACACAGACACAGACACACAGATACACACACAGACACACACAGACACACACACACACACACAGACACACACACACACACACACACACACAAACAAACAAACAAACAACTTACCTTGCCCGCTCACGGTCCGTCGACTCGTACAGGGTCTTGTAGGTCAGGTCACTATGAACACCGAACCCCACCAGCGTGTCGTCCACGCCCCTCATGGTCTGGGGACTGCCCTCGAGCATCCTACGCCTGTCGATGGCTGCCACCATCGGCGGGAACAGCCTGGCGTAGGAGACGAGGGCGTCTTTGTGCACCATGAGGGCATTCTGCTGACTAGTGCCCCCTTTGTCTCTCTCTCCCTCGTGGGACACACAGATGGTGACTGCGTATCCCACGTCATTCTCCAGCAGCCACCGGAACGTCTGACCACGGTACTGGCCGAGCTGCAGCTCGCTCTCGACCAGCACCTGATGGTGATCGGTGGGGTTACCTCCCTTCTGCACCACCCTGTCTCTTGCCTCAGAGCGCACCAGCTCAGGGGTCTTAACCACCACCAGGGCAGTGGCAGAGGCAGAGGCCCCCCTCTGGCGGCGGCTCAAGGCCAGCGCCTCCTGAGAGGCCCGCAGGGTCAGGTCAAGGTTTGCCTCAAAGCGGAAAATAGGCTGCATTTTCTAGAAAGACAAGAAATAAGATTTAAGTCAGTAATCTGCTACACATGCACTGTTTACATCCTACTGACAGTCTATTACTGTACTCAATGATACTGTGCCCATTCATTAACATACATTCAACATCAGGCGTCCTGTTTACACATTTAAACCATATTTACACTTTGAATTTTGACTTCAAACTGTAGTAACTACATCTACAGGGTCTAAGGAAGATAATCAGGTAGTCTGTTTAAAGATTAAATACATTGTGAGAGATCGCCAGCCCTCAGAAAAGTAGTAACTAAAATGACCTCATTCACCTCCTTGTTTTTAGCTAGCAAAATCACGGCTGGTCTGTTTACACATTTAAACCATATTTACACTTCAAATTTTGACTCCACCTCGTTGTACCAGCATACCAAGGGTCTTAAGAAGTGAGCCAAGTTGTCTCATCACGTTTTTAAAGCGTTTCCAGAGATCGTCAGCTCATCACAGCAGTGGCTAAATGCTCATTCATTCCCAACGCTTAGCATGCTAATAGCGATTTATATGCTAACGCATCTAAAGCACAGTTAAACTTTAAATATCAACTCCACACAATAGCAGTACAATATCCTAGGTCTCAACAAGTAAACCCAGTATGGGAATATTATTTTAAACACATTTCACCGATCGGTAATGACATCGGCGGCAGTCCTAACTTACGCTAACGTTACATTGGCTCGCTGTTTCACTGCTAACTGATTACTGTATAATATATAAGCTGCCTTTTCAATGTAGCACATAATTTTACAAACAATAAAGTTTGTCTAACCTTATAATATTGTGTGAATGTCCGTCCGTCCGCTCACTCAAACGCCGCTCAGTCCGAATGAATGAATGACACTGACCGTGGCTGTGGCTTTGGGGGTGGGCGGGACATGCGGCGAGCTGTCGAATCACAGCACAGCACCCAAATGGAACAGACCAATGGGGTTGACCTGGCCTTCACCCATTGGCCTGTTCCATTTGAGCATGAGCCAATGATAGCCTCTGAAATCGGTAGCATGCGCACTAGAGCGCAAAAGACGCGCGGTCGACGTGCGGAACGGCACTCCCGCTCGCCGGTTCGAATCCCGACGGAGGCAAACTGCGAAACGCGTGCATAGCGTCGAAATGTCTTCTCTAAATATAAAAAAATGATTAAAACATGCTTGGAACCGTTGTATAGAGTCTATAAATGATAATGAATTTGCATATTTCCAAGGCCAGGCAATGCAATAATAAATGGATTTTTCATTTACAGTACGGTTTATCTCCTGTGTCTTCATTTTATTGAGAATATGTATCATCAGTGTTTATTGAGAATATGTATCATCAGTGTTTATTGCTTTAAATTTGATATAGGACAAGAGAACAATGATACCAGTATAAAATGATGACAATTTATTTGAAATATGAAGTCAGATGTCCAGGATACAGGACAGTGCAGCATATCAGTGTGGAAAGGGCTTTACAAATAAAATACAATTCTCAGTAAAAAAGGGTAAATAAATTATTTATGTATAAATTAAAGTTACATGCTGTGTATGATTTGTTTCCCCTTTTTTTTTTTTTTTTTAAATATCAATTAAATATATTGTTGTTGTGTTCTGCATCTTCACAACAACAACATCAAACACAGCAGAAGTACAGAGCAAAATAGATTATTTAAACTACAATCCAATAATAATAATAATAATAATAATAATAATAATAAATGGTGATGCAGAACAGAGCAGTGGCACAAGGCAATCACAGCAGGCAGACACATAGTATAAGAGCTCAGCACAGATATGCATGGATACATAACACAGGGGCATTACAGTGTGAAGTACCTGTACATACAAGGCTTTTTATTTTTTTGGCAGCAACAGAGCCAGTGGCAACAGCAGATGAACCAGCACAAATGGCAGTCCGATATCTTGCGTCGCAGCTACTGGATGTAACTGATGTAACAGTGATCACATTAATGAACATACCCACATGTCCAAAATATAAAAAATAAAAAAACTTGTCAGTGCATAGAATCAGAACAGCACAGAGGCATGACAGCGTGTTATAGAGGTGTGAATGGGACACACAATGATCCCCCCCCCCTTAAACCATATGACAGGCAGCAGACACACAGCAGGCCTATAAGACTTGTCAGTGCATAGAATCAGAACAGCACAGAGGCATGACAGCGTGTTATACAGGTGTGAATGGGACACACATTTTTTTTCCAAGCAGAGTGTCACTGTGCTGTAGAAGAGTTGTGGCAGGGTGGGTGGACCGGTGTTGGTAGAAAGTCAATGTCTTTTTAAAAAAAAACACACACACAACACTGCAAACAACTATATACACCTGCCCCAGCAAGAGTGCGAAATCAGTCCGGGGCTCGATTGCATGTGAAACAGGAAAAAGCCAGAATTACATGGGAAACGCTAAAAAGTCACTTTTAATAGTTTTGTCCATTACAGCCAAACTAAGTGAGAGAGCCACACCAAACCACTCTATAATGTACAAGTCGCCGCTGTGAAGCTTCCTGAGGTCGAAACTGGCAGATAGGTGCTTCCAGAAGAGAATGGCAGCTTGTGTGAAAAAGCTTGTTTTCTCAGCCTGAGAAGCTCATTCAGCACACTTAGTTGGAAAAACACCAAAGTCCCACAGAATTGCATGTGAAAAAGGAAAAAGCCAGAATTACATGGGAAAAGCAAAAAAGTCAATTTTAATATTTTTGTTCATTACAGCCAAACTAAGTGAGAGAGCCACACCAAACCACTTATGCATCACTTTAATTATGCCACTGTGAAGCTTTGCAAGTCCAGAATGAATTATTCTGTGGTCAAGTGTGCCCTCTTTTGTCGAAAAAGCGTAACTGCATTTGGAAGACAGAAAACCACTCTATAATGTACAATTCACCGCTGTGAAGCTTCCTGAGGTGGAAACTGGCAGATAGGTGCTTCTGGAAGAGAATGGCAGCTTGTGTGAAAAAGCTTGGTTTCTCAGCCTGGCACACTTAGGTGGAAAAACACCAAAGTCCCACAGAATTGCACTTGAAACAGGAAAAAGCCAGAATTACATGGGAAACGCTAAAAAGTCACTTTTAATAGTTTTGTCCATTACAGCCAAACTAAGTGAGAGAGCCACACCAAACCACTCTATAATGTACAAGTCGCCGCTGTGAAGCTTCCTGAGGTCGAAACTGGCAGATAGGTGCTTCCAGAAGAGAATGGCAGCTTGTGTGAAAAAGCTTGTTTTCTCAGCCTGAGAAGCTCATTCAGCACACTTAGTTGGAAAAACACCAAAGTCCCACAGAATTGCATGTGAAAAAGGAAAAAGCCAGAATTACATGGGAAAAGCAAAAAAGTCAATTTTAATATTTTTGTTCATTACAGCCAAACTAAGTGAGAGAGCCACACCAAACCACTTATGCATCACTTTAATTATGCCACTGTGAAGCTTTGCAAGTCCAGAATGAATTATTCTGTGGTCAAGTGTGCCCTCTTTTGTCGAAAAAGCGTAACTGCATTTGGAAGACAGAAAACCACTCTATAATGTACAATTCACCGCTGTGAAGCTTCCTGAGGTGGAAACTGGCAGATAGGTGCTTCTGGAAGAGAATGGCAGCTTGTGTGAAAAAGCTTGGTTTCTCAGCCTGGCACACTTAGGTGGAAAAACACCAAAGTCCCACAGAATTGCACTTGAAACAGGAAAAAGCCAGAATTACATGGGAAACGCAAAAAAGTCACTTTTAATAGTTTTGTCCATTACAGCCAAACTAAGTGAGAGAGCCACACCAAACCACTCTATAATGTACAAGTCGCCGCTGTGAAGCTTCCTGAGGTCGAAACTGGCAGATAGGTGCTTCCAGAAGAGAATGGCAGCTTGTGTGAAAAAGCTTGTTTTCTCAGCCTGAGAAGCTCATTCAGCACACTTAGGTGGAAAAACACCAAAGTCCCACAGAATTGCACTTGAAACAGGAAAAAGCCAGAATTACATGGGAAACGCAAAAAAGTCACTTTTAATAGTTTTGTCCATTAGAGCCAAACTAAGTGAGAGAGCCACATCAAACCACTCTATAATGTACAAGTCACCGCTGTGAAGCTTCCTGAGGTGGAAACTGGCAGATAGGTGCTTCTGGAAGAGAATGGCAGCTTGTGTGAAAAAGCTTGTTTTTTCAGCCTGGCACACTCATGTGGAAAACCACCAAAGTCCCACAGAATTGCATGTGAAACAGGAAAAAGCAAGAATTACATGGGAAACGCAAAAAAGTCACTTTTAATAGTTTTGTCCATTACAGCTGAACTAAGTGAGAGAGCCACACCAAACCACTTATGCATCACTTTAATTATGCCACTGTGAAGCTTTGCAAGTCCAGAATGAATTATTCTGTGGTCAAGTCTGCCCTCTTTTGTCGAAAAAGCGTAACTGCATTTGGAACACAGAAAACCACTCTATAATGTACAAGTCACCGCTGTGAAGCTTCCTAAGGTGGAAACTGGCAGATAGGTGCTTCCAGAAGAGAATGGCAGCTTGTGTGAAAAAGCTTGTTTTTTCAGCCTGGCACACTGATGTGGAAAAACACCAAAGTCCCTCAGAATTGCATGTGAAAAAGGAAAAAGCCAGAATTACATGGGATACGCTAAAAAGTCACTTTTAATATTTTTGTCCATTACACCCAAACTAAGTGAGAGAGCCACACCAAACCACTCTATAATGTACAAGTCGCCGCTGTGAAGCTTCCTGAGGTGGAAACTGGCAGATAGGTGCTTCTGGAAGAGAATGGCAGCTTGTGTGAAAAAGCTTGTTTTCTCAGCCTGAGAAGCTCATTCGGCACACTTAGGTGGAAAAACACCAAAGTCCCACAGAATTGCATGTGAAACAGGAAAAAGCCAGAATTACATGGGAAACGCAAAAAAGTCACTTTTAATAGTTTTGTGCATTACAGCCAAACTAAGTGAGAGAGCCACACCAAACCACTCTATAATGTACTAGTCACCGCTGTGAAGCTT